GGCTCAAAGCCGCAGCTGTGAGCGCGCGGGATGGACGGACGACTGAGCTGCGCGGCTGGGCTCGTCCTGTCCTGTCCTGTCCTTCCTCCCTCCCTTCCCCGGGCCCGTGCTCCCAGCCTCTGCGTCGCGCACAACTTCGGAGCCGCAACTTGACAGCAGCCGCGAGACTCCGGACGCCCGGTTTAGTCTTTAACCGGCAATAAAACGACATGATTTGTTGGGGTTTTTTAAGGAAGTGTCGGAAATTGGTGATCACAGATCTTCAGGCTGTAACAAACCAGTGGCCGGCAAGGATCATAAGCTATATGGGTCCTATATGGCTTCCATAAGGGTCATATATATATTTATATGTATATATATGTATGCACACACACATATGTATGCACACATATATATATGTGTACACACACAGAGATATATGTACACACACACACACACACACACATATATATATATATAAAAGAAAGAGCTATTTTTTTTGTATTCCCAAAGCATAGACCAGCGGATCCCAATGGGGTGCCCACGGGCACCATGGCACCCCGCGAGGTTTATTCAGGTGCCCATGCACATTTTCATGATCAGTAAAAATCATTATTCCAACACAAAATGCTGTCACTGCCGACTGAACTCAGAACAGCAACACTTCACAAAAATTTTCACAGGCTGTATGCAACAGCCACTAAAATGAGACTGCGTCAGTCTGAGTGACACTGTGACGGAGTGGCGCTTAGCACACCCTCCCCGAACGGAGCCATGCGCACGCACGTATCCTGGATTCTAAATTCTAAACTTTAATATTCACGTTGGGGCCCCTGCTTTTTCTTTTAAATTCAAATGTGCCCTTGTGCACATAAACATTGGGAACCCCTGGCATAAACTTTGAGAACAACACCAAAAAATCATGAGAGTTGGCGACTCTGAGCTGCACACAGCTGCTTGGAATTTGACAAACTCCGCATGGATAAATCTGATCTTCTCCTGCCTTAAATGTGCAAGCCCTGACACTACAGCTACAGGGAGGGGACTTTTAAACACATTGATGAGCAGTGCCCCACAAACACACTGGGCTTCTGTTGGAGTATTGACAGTATTGATACTCTCTTTAAACTGAGAAATGCTGAAATCTAATTCAATCTATAGCCGACAAACACTTGTATCCAGGTATTTGTATCCGTGGCATACAAAATACTATGCACTGAGTGTCAATGGTAACTTCCATTCTGTTCCAAATGCAAGATTCCCAAATCTGCTATATATGTTATTTATGGTTCAGAAATTATCAAGACGATCTCTATTGAAGTGGGGGAGTTTCTGCTTTCATAATCCTTCTCTGGGCAGCTGAGAAGAAAAATTGTATACCCAAAAAGTCTTGATGTTTCTGTATTTTCTTTTTAGTGACCAGTTTTCAGAAGGAATGAGCATGTCCAACTCCAGTTGAAGTCAGCAAGAGCTGCAGTTCCCCATACTTCTGAAAAGCAGATGTTAGCCTGTTTTGTTGTATTCTTAAGTTGCAGATACCAAGTCAATACCCTGAAAGCAAACTGCCTGTTTTATTTCAGCTGCTTCTGCTTTCCCAGTTCATTGTGTAGTGCATCTCATGTGATCCTCTCAAGCAGAGAGAGAGGACTTTAGAACAGCAGCCTGCATCAAAAATATGAATCAACGCTTTTTTTTCCAACTGTTTTTCTCACATTTCTGTTTTATTTGTTCAACCTTTGGAAAGTGTACTGAATGCTCATAAAAAATATGTCATATCCTCCTCTTCCAATTTATGATACTTGGTTCAGGTTCCAAGTGCCTAATTTCCCACTCCCATGCCTGAGCTTGGGAATTAATGTAGTGCTTATGAAAACTGCCAGTCGGCTAAACAGAGGTGAATACTGAGGTCTGTTGTTTATCCAGCCAAGATGCAGTGTGGGCAGGAGCACAACCGAGTTTGTTACTTTTCTTTCTAATCCGCCTCGGTCTTACCCTTGGAATATGAGGTTCATTATGAGGTGTATTCTCCCTTTGGCTTTTCCTTTACAACTGCCAACAGGATTGTCAATTTTACTTGCACACTTTCTCCATTAGGCAGTAGACCTCCAGTTTATTTCACAAGAATTTCCAAACAGCCATTAGATAGCAGTATTTGGGGGGACATTACCAAGCTGGGTAGAATGACAGGGATGAATAATATTTCACATCATAGTGCCAATCCCTTCAGCCATCCATTTCTCACAGGCCCATGTCTTTATTATTAGCTTGTCAGATATGGGTGATGTGGGATTTTAGTTGGTACGTTCATCTTAAAGGATAAAGAAAAATGAGACCAATAGCTATGCACCCAAACAGCTTTCAGAGCCTCTGAGTAAAACAGAATTCCTGATTTACTGTCTTAAACAGCTGGAGTTTTGCTCAATGTAAATGAAATAAACCCGAACGAGGACAAGGGAGGTCATACAGTGCTACTAGTTGGTCACATATACTACACTTCTCTAGTGCAGTGGTTCCCAACCTTTTTGGAGTCGAGGTACCCCTTCATAGACTTGAGACATCCCTTGGAAAAGGCCAGATCTTAATTTTCACTTTTTTTAACTGCAGAAAAACACCAGAACAATTCTTGTGTTGCAAGAACAGAAAGACAACAGGTCAAAATATTTTGAACACTATTGATTCCTATGGGAAAATTCTAGTTTTATCTTGTGAATTATACTTGCACACCAAACAATGCTAACGTTGTGTGGCAACCCACAGCGTCCTTGAAAGGATCTCAAGGCACCCCAGGGTGTCATAGAATCATAGAATCGGAGGACTGGAAGGGACCTGTAAGATCATCAAGTCTGGTCCCCTGCTATGGGCAGGAAGTGACTGGGCTCAGATGAGCTCAACAAGGCACTTGTCCAGCCTCCTCTTGAACACCTCCAAGGATGGCGACTGCACCACCTCTGCTGGGAGTGTGCTCCAGATTGTGGTGACCCTTACAAAGAAAAAGGTTTTTCTTATGTCCTGCCTGAATTTATCCTCTATTAGCTAATGCCCATTGGTCCTTGTCTGCCCTTGAGGTGTATTCCTGAAGAGTTGCTCCCCTAGATTTTGATGCTCCCCCCGACCTACTCCTGATGTCATGGTACCTTGGTTGAGAATCACAGTTCTAGTTACTTCTATTCAGGATCACAAAGTCACAGTTAATATAGGGCTTATCTACTGTGGGTATTTTTGCACAGATGAGTAAGAAAACAGAATTGTAATAAACCAAACCAGTACAAATAAACTTTAATAAAACTGCAGGACTAGGGAAATGTAGTCACAGGCAGCTACTAGGAATTCTCAGGATGACCTAATGCTAAACCTCTGGGATTTGATCCTGCTGGAAATTGGAACATGTAGTTTCAGAAATTTAATATCACTAGCAGTCAAGTAGTTAAAAAAAGCTTAAATCAGTTTAGTAAGTGTTAAACCTGTAAAGCATTTTGGCCATCCTGGACTGGACATAATTACACTGTAGAAAGCATTTTGGAGGCCTAGTCTCTACGACAGGGTTGCTGCCGATGCTGTGTCTTGGGTGGGCAACACAGGTCCCCTGTTTTAAACACAGCATACACTAGTGGTTCCCAGTCTGTGGTACACATACTACCAGTGGTATGCAGACAATCTGTCAGTGGACACATTAGATTTAATATCACTACTTTATATGACAAAAGTTTTCTGGTGGTACTTAAGGTTGATCTGAAAAATTTGCTGGTGATACTTAAGGTTGTATTGTTTCAAATTGGTGGTGCACAATCTGCCAGAGTTTGGGAACCGCCGCGCTAGTAGAAGTTCCTTAACTGCTGCAAGTCGCACCTCCTCCCCTGAACAGCAAAAGCTGCTAGCAGAGCTGTGTCTGGACTAGCAGGGCTACGTCAGCGAAAGGGGTGATTCTTTTACACCCGCACCTGACACTGCTCTGCCAACAGTGTGTTGTCATGTCGACAGGCTCTCGCTCATTTGTTTGTGTGCTTCACATTTTTTAAAGTTCCTCATATGGGAAAAACCAGGCTGGTGTTAATGCATTCGTCTGTCATCTGTGGTGATCAGAAGTTAGACTACTAAGGATTTCTTTGATGTTCTGAAAAGAATGTCACACCTTTGTGAATGACACTTGGCTGCAGGAACAAGGTCACAACTCGTGGGTAATGCCTGACCTCTCCTTGCATTAAAATGTACAGCCTGTGTCTGGCTAAAATAAGGATTTTGATTCAGATGAACCCCTCGTCCCACAAGACAACCAGGTTTGGTTTAGAGCAGTGTTTTGCAACTGCTGGGCCATCAGAAATGAGCAGGTGTACCACCGGTTTTTGCCATGGCAATGAGCTACAGTAGGTATGAGGCTGGGGAATGCCTTAACAGGTGTGCCACGGACATTTTTATTATTAATGCAAGCTTGCCTTGGGCTGGGAAAGGTTGGCAAACACTGGTTTAGGGGAATTTGCAAAACAGGCACCGATCTACTCAAGTCCTTTAAAAAAAATTACATTTCTCCATAACTAGCATTAGGTTTTTCTTTTTCTTGTCATTTTTCCTTTCTGCCTCGTCTTTTCCACACTTCAGGGGATCCGCTTTTCCAGTGCAGGTGAATCTTCTGCATGTAATGGGCATATAAGCACATTTCAGAAGGAAGTGTACTTAAAAACCCCCCAAAACACTCCCACATTTTCCCTCTCTTTATCCTAAGGGGAGGAGAAGAGAGCTCGCCGCTCCTTTCTCAGCCTCTCCTCCATCCCTCCAGCCCCTCCCTCCCCGCCTCCCACAATGCAGCGGGACGAACAGGCGGGGCCAAGATTCCCATCGACACCTGGCAGCCGCTCTGCCAGTACTAGGAGGGCACCCATCTTTACTAAGGGCAGCCCGGCTTCTAGGTGCAGAGGGGCAGCCATCTTGAGAAAACGCCCGGCTCGCCTTCAGCGCCATTGGCCATAGTGGCGTGGCGGCCATCTTGGCTAGGGGCAAAGCCTCGCTCCTGACCAAGCTTCGCATCAGCTGACCGGCGCGTTTCCATCATGGCCGCCAGGCAGCGACGGTGGCGGGGGGCGGCGGGCCGGCTCCTCGGCCTGCTGTGGTTGGCCTGTGTCACGGCGCGGGCCGCCGAGCCGCCGCCGCCGAAGTGCGACGAGCTGAGGATGGGGCAATATCCTGGGCCGGGCCGGGCCTGGTCCCGCGGGCATCAGCCCCGGCCTTCCTCGGGGCAGGGGCAAGGGATGGGAAGGGGGTGCCGCCGGGGTGGTGGGCTCTGATGCCAAACCAAAAAAAACCCAACGGCTTTCCTTAATGCCTCGCACATATCTCTGCGAAGATCCCAAAATAGACAGCGGCACGCAGGAGCCCATGAACTGCACGAACCACACGGCTTACGGTAAGGCTGGCGAGGGGGTCAAAGGC